AACCAGGGAGCCTAACAGGACCTATGCGACCGTCTCCTTGTTAGGGTTTTCATATCCTCGTGCCAGGTCTTAACTTGAACACCCTTGGCTTTTTTTACTCGGTATCTGCTTCGGCGAAAATCGTTCGTCATGGTTACATATCTGGTGACATGCGTAACACGTCCCAACTAACGTAATCTATGGAGGTCGATCACTTGCTCCAGTGGGCGACCGCGGATACCCAAAACTCTGTCTTTAGCCTCAGCATTGCTCATCTGGATACCCCACCAGATTCGTGCACTGCTGCGTAGACAGTGACGTTCAAACACCGACAGTCTATTTTTATCCTGTTTCCTTAATGGCCAAGTTTCTGCATAGTAGGACTGGCCGAACTATCGCAGCATACACTCGATCCTGCACAGACAGCCGGAAATCGCGACGGCGCCACAGATGTCTCAAGTTGGCAAACGCCAACCGAGCCTTCTGTATGCAAGCTGACACTTCACCCGTGGTGCGTCCACCGGGTGAGATGCAGCTGCCCAAATAAAAAAACTTATCCACTTGCTCTATTACTTCCCCAGTTAGAGTGAAGCTGGGTGCTGGACCAACCCAGTTTTGTAGTAACATTTTACACTTTGAAGGTGCAAAACGCATACCGAACCAGGTTACACTATTACTCAAATTATCCAGAAAAGCTTGCTACTTACCTGGATCTTCACTTAGCAGCACAATGTCGTTTGCGTACTCTAGATCAGACAGTCTGCCTCCTGGGAGTAAATCGATGCCACTATCGTCGCACGAGGATAGGGCTATTTCCATAATCAGATCTATGACAATATTGAATAGAAAAGGAGAAAGAGGGCAACCCTGACGAACACCACTTTCTGTGGGCGAAAAAGTGCCGTAAGCCCGGACTCAACTTCGGCTATTAGTATAAAGCGAGAACCGGTGAGGAATGAAAATAGAATAAGAAAAGCTAGGAATCTACAAGTAAAACAGTACGATCAAAGCAGCATTTCATCTAGAAAAGCATGGAAATAAAACAAAGGTAGACTCATCTGATATGGTAGAATAGTGTTTCTATGACGAGCATTATATGAATGATTTGCCGAAATTTCTTAGAAGCACATAACCGGTTTCGCGGTCCTTGCCGCTCGTCAGGTATGCGTATCCGGTGACCTTTTGTCCGATCGACTTAATCAAAATTTATGTGTGGGATTCACATGAACGACAAAACGAATAAGATAGAATACGTTTTTCTCTGTCCAAAACCAAAACATGCTTGGCATGGATGTACTGAGCGCTATAGAAGAAATCGAGACCGACAAGTGATAAGGTTCTTCTTTTGGCGAACTGATTGCAGTTGGGAAATATTTGTTTCTTGTTGGTTATTTTTCAAATTGTTTTTGCCTTGGGAGGCAAATCCAATTAGGCGTTCAAATTTCATTCAGTATAAAATACGTTTATTTAAGCATAATAGAACATATTAACCGCATAACTTGTCGTAGCTGTTCAACTCCTTTACCGATCTATGGTAAGCAATTAGAATATGGCTTCACTTTATTTAACTTTTAGAATACGCAGCGATACACTCCATTAAGACCAGTTCAAGGTTCTACGGAAGGGATACGGAAATAAGGAGATAGGCTACGATGACGGAATGTGGATACTCGACCTTTAGGCTACTGTAAATAGTAATCCTAATTACTCAACCACCACCGCTGACCGGTGCAATGAATCTTTCAAAGCCTTTACTTTTTCCAATAGGTCAATCAATAAAACAATTTTCAGGAACAAATATACTTTTAGTTCAGAAAGGATGTAGAGTAGTTAGACGGGGTTTAAAGGAATCCAATCCAAGAGCTCCAAGTCAACAAGACGATAATTTACATGCTTTGAGCAAGACCCTAGAAAAAACAAGACAAATGAGACATGCAATAAATGTAGATGGAAATGAGCTGAGTGCCAAAAAACATACTGCATCTTGATCCTTCCCGGACAGAAATTGGAATCCGGAACCGAAAATCGACCCCTTCTTCTTTCGCTTTGGAGCCTCAGCTGCTTTGAGAGCATCCACCGAAGCGGCCAGATCATTGGATGCCAGTGACTTTCGGTGTTGATCGACAATATGTTGTGGATCAAGTCGGGCTTCGGTATTTTTCAATTTCATTTGCATCAACATAAGACGACGCTGTTCAATGTTAGCTGTGCGTTGTGCCACATACGCAGAAATATCATCTGTGCTCTAAACACAGAGAGAAAAAAGAGGGAGAACAGGCAATACACGGCAGTTGCGATTTCACAGCCATAAGCATATACATCTGTCTGAAATGAACCTAGATTCAGGAAATCATTTCTGTTCAAGTTGTATAGCATGATGCGATGAGCTGGATACCAGGCCCCAATGGATTGCGGGTCTGACTTTGGCCAGCCGAAGGCTCCGATTGTGGATTCCTCGAGAAAATTCAACTGCCTTGGCCTAGGCAACCTGGCAGTATTCAGCCCACGAGTCAACGTTTTTCTTTTTATAAAGATTATTGCACCATCATTTGTTTGGCACAGTCTGGCGTCAGAGGTGTGTGAAATATCATATATTGTATAATCTCTTTATGTCCGTAGGGTAAAAACTATAAGGATGACGGTGAGGGACAGAGGAAGCTGATGGAAATCCATTTTGCCCGGATCAAGACCCAATCTAGTATGACATTTTTCAGAGAGAAAATATGTTTGTGAATAAGTGGCGTAACAAGTTGCATCCTGGGGTACACAAGCAGTATGCGCTACTCACCAGATACATCACTAGGTTGTATGACTGGTTGTCCGCCACCTCGTGCAGTGTAGAAGTAGGTTAGACTCCATTTGTTTATACTGTTCAAGAACGATTACACTGGATCGATCATTGTTTTCAAACCAGTCAAAAAGCGATTCTTTTCAATAATCCTGTTGTCAGTGGGCACAGACTTTTACGCTCACTCGAAAGGAAATTCAGCAACTGGATAGGGAACAGGGCCCTTACATCGAAAGTGGATGAAAGTTATTGTGTTTAGGGTGCTGACGGTAGGTATTACCTAAGCATAAGAAAGTTCAAGAGGAGTAACACGCACACTGAAACTGCTATCTCCGATACTCTATGTCCTTTCAAAGAGAATTGCTACCAATTCCAAAAAATGTATGTGAATAATTTAAAATGTAGTGGATTTAATCAAGACGGATTAGCGTTCAGTTCAAGATACTGACTATTGTTATGGAGCATTATCAATTGGTCAAAATCACTGTACGAAAACTGAAAATGTCTGTAGACGAAACTAACCAGAGCCACCACTTCGACTTCGGCGTTGATACGCAGATCATACATGAATTTCGTCATATCGCGTTTCAAACTGACAGTGTCATCTGTCTCGTTGGCCACCACAAACACGCGCAGCTGACATTGACGCCATACACGATTTCGCATGAGCAAATAGGAGGTCAGTAGAAGTAGACCACCATCGTGCACAATACACCACACATCCACACTCCCTTGCATTTGAGTAGCCTTACTCTTGGGAAATGAGTCGATGCCCTTGGGAACAATCATGGCCACATCACAGGCTTGTGCAGCTTTCACAGTAGCTATGTGAATTCAAAGGACAACGAAAATGAAAAGTTAAAAATACAATCGAATAATAGAGTAGACGCGACCCAGAGAAAAAAATTGTTCATGATCGTAAATGATTCTGTCCTACGCGTGGTACACATTCCAAATGACTAGAGATTAATACATGGTATGTTATGGAAATATTTTGCTACCCCAGCGTGGTCAGTTAACGCAACGTCTTAGAACTGACCGCACTCAGACAGCTTTGCTGTCGTCCGGTTTTATTCTGCGCTTAACCAACTGGGGCCTTATATGATTCGTCACCCCAGGTCCCAGGGCTTAGGTTGTCGGTTTCCGTCACTGAACACCAGGTTTTTGTAACTATGGTGTCCGACCCGCCTGCTGTTCATCACACGGAAAAGATGTAACAAAAACCTCAGAGCTATCGGTCTAACAAAGCAAAGCAAATTTGTTTGCCGAAACATTTAGGACTGATGAGTGAGAGAAACACTTAATGATGCACACATTAAAATTCGACCAATATTCTTCATACGTATAAAATACTTTCTAAATGGAACATGAGCATTTTGTTGATGCTCCAAGTTAGGGTAGCATTCACAATGATACCTACTGAATAAAGATCAACCACGTGCGCAAGTACGAAGTGAAGCAAAAGCTTTAAAAGCAACTATAAAGTGTGCCGTGGACTGACAAGAAGACAAGGAAAGAACTGTCGAAATATACTTCCCAAAAATGATATAATAAATCTTCGTGATACACAATTATTCTTCTATCGATGGCATTTCATTTCGCATTCAATATCCCTGCCGCCTACCCAGTCGTCCGGCACTTCAAACGAACGAACCGAACCAAACCAAACTATATGCACTTACACAAAAACTGATGCAATTTCTGACCGTTTCGTTCGCAATCCGCGCGCCAGTCCTCTGGGAATGAGACCATGATTGTGTTGTGGCGCAGATTGCCTAGGCCAGCACACTGAGCCCTGAGAGAGAGAAACAGAAGACCGACAGGCGGAGAACACGTGGGTGGTTATCGATTGCTGTTGCTAACACGCGTAAGACGTGTAAGGTTAAACGGGAGAGCAGGGGTGACAGTTGGTTAGGTGACCGGAAAACAGTCTGTCAGATTCGACCCAAAGGAAGCTTCCTATACCAACTAATGTCTCGGCAATAAATCGCCGGAAATGCAAGCTAACACTAAGAGCCACACGACGTACTTGTATTTAAGCCTCACGAAGGTGAGCTGTGATGAATGATTTTTTAATGATACAGTGCTTTGGGAGTACATATGTGTAAAGGTATATGAAAAACCAATCTGTCAATTCATATCACATACTCGCTGAGACAAGGTAATAGAGTCCCACGCTATCTATCCTGACGTAAGCACGTGATGAGAAACGAAATAACAAACCCTGAAAAGATCGATTAGATGAACAGATGATCAATCGAATAAATCTGGACAGGTTGAATATGAAAACTGAAACGCATCGAACAACGGTTTCGCTCATATCAATCCGGACACCACATCTTTCAGATCTGGTCGAAAATGTGGTCACGTTCTGGAAAGTACATGCATACAGGTGCGTGACGTTCTGCATCAGACTTTCAGTCTTCAAGTCTAAGTTTACGTTCACGGTTCGATGCGTCTCGTATATTTACTTCAAAACTAATCACGTCTACAACTGATTGAGTTGGCTAAACAATACTGAAATGAACCACATGGATTCGACAATCAAAAAACAAATAAACAGAAAGTTAGACATAAAGCTCAGCTAGATAAATTGCGCAGCATTATCGATCACACAAGGTTTGAATGAAGTTATGAGCATGCTGAATAGTAAATACGAACAATCCCAGTCCGTCTGAAGAAATCATTGTCTTACATCAAGAAAATAGATGTCGTATCGACACACGTGTGCACAGGTGTTCAAGACAAGGAAAACGGGAAGTGATTGATTCTTTGGATAGATTACACCTGATTTTGACGTTATGTGGAAGTCGTTTTGAGTAAGAGATGATCGGAGCGCACTATCTAAGATACACATCAACCAACAAACGTTCCCGTCGATATTGAAACCAGTCTGTCAGTAGAAATAAATTCAGCTGTTTGGATAAAAATATTTTTTTTTAATTTAATCGATTCTTTAGGACCGGAAAGTTGCATTGCGTTTTTACTTCTCTACTGATCTGAAACAAGTACAGGACAGGGTTGTTACCTATTCCCCTACTTGGTACCTCAAACTTAACGAGGTTAAGAAATTAAACGCACCGTTAT